ACACACACACACACATATATATATATATATATATATATATATATATATATAGAGGTTGATTCAAATAAAAACTAGCCCTGATATGAGGACCATATTTGGTGCTATTCTTAATATTGCATGACACTATCATTTTCATAAATGCTCATAAAAATTATACTTCTATTAAATAAAATACATCCTAGTTAAAATTAAAAATAACACTAAGATAAATCAATTCTAGCACTACATACATTTAAAAATAGCGGTTCTCACGGTTCTCACGTTAGGACTTAGTTCTCATTTGAACGTCAGATATATATATTGAAATTAATATATATATATATATTAATTTCAATATATATTAATTTCAATATATATATATTGAAATTAATATATATATTAATATATATATATATATATATTAATTTCAATATATATTAATTTCAATTATGAATACGATACAAAATACATTAAATGGAAATAGAAAATATTTTTATTTACTTTTATTTTATTTGGCTATGTGTTATTTTTAATAGGTATTCTTTTATATTTTTATATTAATTACTATAAAATTATAAAAATAGTTTTATTCATGACATATTTTTATAATTTCATAATGATTTAATCATAAATATCGTAATTGTTTTTTATTTTATAATTATTTTATAAAAAATGTAGTAGTTAATGTCAATTTGTACATTTACTCTATATTAGTGGTTTTCACTATACTTAGTGGTAGCTGTCTCTATATTGATGTCAATTTGAACATTTTTTTTTTTCAAACGACAAAGAAGCAACTTATATAGAACTCAAATAGCACAAGTACATGCATAGCCAAATGACTACCTCCATCTTGGTCTCACCCCATGAAACACAAGAGGAACCGACAAGGTAAACACCAAGCCCTAACAGGCAACACAACCCTACAACAACAAAACAGAACATCCATCAACTTAAAAACCATAAACAACCCTAGCCTCACAACTATCCAAAAGGACAAACAACTCTAACATGAGATCTTTGTCAACACCTACAGGAACTTCTTTCTTAGAGATAGCTTCCACCAAGTCATATGGCTCTAACATGCAGTTGATCTTACAAATTTTCAGCTCCTTGGCTCTGAGTACACACCACTTGACAGACAAAATGCATGCTTCTTCCAAATTTCTTGCTCCTTGTAAATATTGCTGAAAATTCAGAGTTGTGGATCCTTTTGTATCTAGTGAGCATTCTAGAAAAGTAACCTTATCCTCAGAAAAAGAAGCACTGATAGTCATTAATGGTTGACATACTTCAGAGGATGGCTTCGCCATCATAGCACCTGGATCCTTGTTGAGAACAACAGAATCTGTGTTTCCACTCCACTTCAGTCATTCTGCCTTAGCTTCCTCCACTATCACCCTCTCATGAACCCACTCCCCCTTAAACACCCACTTGTTCCTTGCCTTCCACATATTCCATAATAGAAAGGCAGATAAACATATCCTGTCCTCCTTCAATTTCATTAAACCAGCATTACAATGCTCATACCACCACTTCTAAAAGTTACTAATTCTTTCATCTTGACTTCCCCAGAAAATTCCACTAAGCTTCTAGCAATTCCTAGCCTTAGAGAAATTAAATAGGACATGATTAAGATCCTCCACCCCTTCCCCACAAACAGCACAGATAAGGTCTAGTTTAATACCCCTTCTTCCCAACTGAGCCTTGGAGCTGATATAGCTGTGCCAACATCTCCGCAAAAAGATTCTAATCTTTGACTTGATATGTAGCTTCCAAGTCAGGTTCCACGTTCTGGTCAAAGCTTTGGGAACCATACTAGAGCTAGCCTCCTCCTGAACAGTGGCCACAAATTTAAGAGTTGTCTTATACACTGCTTTGACTGAGAATATGCCTTTGGGACTTTCATGCCATATGAGTTTATCTGATCCTCCATGTGAAGATAGGGGTATTCTGAGAATTGATGCGGCTTCAGTAGGATTAAAAGTTTGATGAATGAGTTCCGAGTCCTATACTCTCTTGCCTTCCTTGAAAAGATCACATACTCTCAACAATCTGGCCTTGCCAGCATTAGAAGAACATGTTGGTTTAAAATAAGGGACATTAGCTATCCATGGGGAGTCCCATATCAGTATAGCTTTACCATCCCAAACAGCATATCTAGATCCTAAGCCTAAGATTTCCTAGCTCCCAGCCAGCTCCTCCAAAGCCAAAATTAGGCTTTGATTTGGCCTCCATTGATTCACCTGCCAAAGATAGCTCCCTCTCATCACCTTACTCACCAATAAATTGGGTTGGGTTAATATCCTCCACAGCTACTTCACCAGGAGGGACTCATTATAGGCTCAAAATTTTTTAACCCTAATCTAGCCTCCCATTTCCCTCTAGCCAGTTTACCCTACTCAACCCAATGAATTTTCTCTCATCCCTCTTTATTTTTTCCCCACCAAAAAGAGGCCACCTCCCTACAAATATTTCTAATGATAGACAATGGAACTCTAAACAAGACATGATATAGGTAGAAAGTGCATTAAGTAGATTTAATCATCACTTCCTTCCCAGCCTAACTTAGAAAAAAGTTCTTCCAGTTTTTTATTTTATTTTGGACACTCTCACTCACAAACATGAATGTATCTCTCTTAGATCGATCAATACCTAAAGGCAGTCCAAGGTACTTAGAGGACTCCACCCTTGAGATTCCAGACAACGTAGAACATATGCTTCTAACAAGATCTTCCTGGGTAATATTAAAAAACAAGATGGAGGATTTATCAAAATTAACTAATTAACCAGAATCATGACCATACTGAGACAAAATATCCACAATCAACTCAGTATGCTTAACGTCAGCCCTACAAAAGAATATGAAATCATCAACAAATAGAAGATGGGAAACGCTAGGAGCATGTAATCACCAGACAAAAAGGATTGATTGACCAAGTTAGAAAGGGATTCAGAAACACGAATAAATAGATAAGGGGAAAGGGGATAACCCTGTCTAAGACACCTAGTAGGTTGGAAAAAACCCATATAAACACAATCCACATTAAAAGAATAAGAGATAGAACACACACATGCCAAAATCCAAGAAACAAAGACTTCACTGAAACCCATTTTTCTACAAATTCTAGCCAAAAATGCCCACTTCACTTTATCATAAGCCTTTGCCATGTACAATTGTAATGCTATGAAATTCAATTTACCTTTTCTTTT